AATCTAAAAGTGCCAATAAACAACACAATTTCCATAAAATTTGCTGAATCCATTACAGTTTACCGTCTACATTTTTAGACGATTCTTTACAAAAGATGAACTAATCAGACGACAAATATTTTAACGGATACACTAAAAAGATCAATTAAGATCAATTATTACGGGATATTAGCATTAGCGAATCTCGGAACTTTCCGGGGTACTTAAATCATATTAGCACTGCGCTACAAATGAGAATCGTTGTTGATTTTTCAAATTCTTTCGAATACCGGGCAAAAATTGTGAAGATCTAGCTAATTCGATTAGATCTCACTTTTTTTCTGAAATACTGTTGGTATTAGCGACAATATACCTCGTTAAATGCTTTTGTTTTAAAGTATTATAATGTTTAGTATGTCTGAACAGCAGTAGATCGAACTATGTATATCTACTTAGCGATAAAGATGTGTAAAAAGTAACTTAAAAAGGTCTAAATAGCAAAAATTCACAGTCCTTTACAAAGATGCAACCGGGAGGGCATTGAAAATGATGAATAAAAACGTAAAAATATGATTAGTGTTAATATGAATGTATTACATACATATGTTTAAATAACGAACTTAACAAAAAACAACAGATTTAAAGATTCACTGAAAAAGTAATAGTGTTAACATTAAATAAAAGATTATCAATAATAATTATGCGATCGCACCTATCCGTAAAACAAGCAAGCAAAAAAACCTCGAAAAAACAAAATAACATACAAAACATCAGGTTAACATGATGACAGATCATGATCAATGACAGATAAAGAATTCTTAAATTTTCTAAAATTTTAATGGTATTACTTGTGCATTATTGGCCTTATAATGTAATTTGTTGGAATTAAATCTTTTTTAAATATAATTAGACTTTTTAACGATTTTTAAGTTACCTAGGAAAAAATCTGTACACGTACCTACCAGTATTGTTACAGGTTAATTCGTGAAACAAATGTGTTACATATTATTCGTGGTGTTAGTGGTATTATATTGGAATCAGCTTGGCATTAGTGGGGCATTATATGAGAAATTTTGGTATTTAATTTGTATTTTTGACATTACTTTGGCATTAGCATACAGACATTTGTCAGCGGTTTACCCCTTGTAGATAATCAAAAAGTTTTTAGATAAAATTTGCTTTTTATGTCAGATCATTTCCATGAAAAATTACATTAGATTTTTATTAAAGATGCTGGGTAATTAAAACATTGACTAATAAAGCTTGTCCACTTTAAATAAGGGGTCACGAAATATACTCCTTGGAGTGTTTGGGTTAAGGGGTGTATAATAAATTAATCCTTGTTTTATAATAAAAACCATAAAACATTTATTTGTGAGTAAAATAATGCAATGGTTGGATATCTCTCCTTTATAATTAGGTGACTAAAAATACACTAAAATAATTAGAAAAAAAAAATTGTAATTATTTAGTAATTACGTCAATATTAATTAATTGACTTTCTAGTCTATTTTATTTTATGTACAAATATATTATTAAATTTTAATCTAAGCATTAAGTAATAAAACACTTTGTGCCCTCTTATATCGTAAGAGGTTACGAAATATACTCCTGGTTGCACCCCTTACAGAAAACAGTGTAAGGGGTGCAAATAAATTGTATAATCACTGTTTTTTATAATAAAAACTATAAAATATTTCTTATTTGTGAGATTAAAAAAACAAAACAATGCATTGGTTAAAATAAGTACATTCAATACATATGTATGTGTTATAACATAATATAGCCATTACTATTATACTATTATTATTAAAATAATATGTGTGTAACATATTTCTTTAACGAATTAACCTGTAACAGACATTTATATGCCCAGTATATTTTTGATTAACAAACCAATCAGGAAAAATCCAAAACTTACCGTTATAGGAGGTATAAGATGATTAAACTTATATAATGACAACTACTTATCGGATAACAAATTAATTATTACTGTCTGTTCAGCTACTTCTGTACTAGGTAGAATATACCTAGAGTACCTACACCTACCTATGATGCAGGTAGATTAAAGCTTATTTTGACGTTACCTCTCACTTCGGTGTCACAAGCTGAATTTTTCAGGGATGGAAGTACAGTACATGATATGGGGACCCTTATTCCGAAAGTAGCACAAAATTAGACCGGGTAAAAGGGCACTATCATCAAAAATCGATATATTAATACCACCGTATAGAGAAAACAAATACTTATTTTTTGATCCAGTACACAATAAAGTCTTCGTAGGGGAGTAATTTTTTATAATTATTTACAAAAAACATTTCCATTAGGCGCTTATGACCAAAAAACTTTAAACATGAATAATCATTTCAATCATGCGAAAATTTGGTTTAAAAATAGATTTTTTAATATAACTTTCATTTAACGAAAAACGAAGGCCTAAATGAAAAAAAGAAACAATTTAAAAGTTTCGCTTATGTCTTGACAAGGTATCAAAGCAAACCCCATATTTTTTGCTTTTAAACTAATAAAGATATATCAATAAACAATTAGCGATGCAATGGTTTTTGCGCGCGCTGGCCGACTGCCTCCGCTGCGCCGAGATTTCCTATACCCTTGTATATATGGCGTCATGGTGTGGCAAACGTAGCATTTTAATTCGATTTGGGCTCCCTTATATAGGATAACAGAAACATTTTCAATGTTAAAAATATTTCCGATGGTACTAATAGAACACTGTCAGCACTGTATATACTATACAGTAATATCCGGAAATTCCTACACAGAAGGAAATAAAAAGTATTTTAATTTTTTCAGAAATTTTAATTTTTCATAAAATAGTCTGCCTCTAGGACACTATTAAGTAAACGTCAAGCTTTCAATATGTCGTCTTCAAAAACATAGTTCATATCGTAGAAACTTTTAGTCGCGTAATTAAGCTTGACCAGCAAAGCGTTGCCCACTCTTACATATTTTCTTTTAATCAAAATATTTTAAGAAAAAAAATAAATTAATTATAAATAATATATAAACAGTTATTATTTACATCAACAAAACTCACCTCTTTAACAGTACTTAAGAGACATAAAGAGACATAAATGAATAGAACAATGCACACTATCCGTTCCGTTTCCCTTCCGTTCCATATCCTTTCCTTCCGTACATTTTTTTGGCGTACGGACTGAAGCGTATCGGAAACAGCGTTGTCAAGTTCTTACATTTGTGTTTCTTTCACCTCTTAATTATATCTATTACCTTTGTCAAAAGGTACATACCTACTTTTAAAATAAAACTTTCGTAATGATATAAATTCTACAATAAAAAGTATGGAACTGATACGGAACGGAAGTTTACGTATAGCATCAGAACAATAAAAAAAAAAAATATATATATATATATATATATATATATATATATATATATATATATATATATATATATATATATATATATATATATATATATATACATATGCAAACGAAGCAAACGAGGCACAAAGGCGCCATTTGCAGCTGGTCCGGCAGTAGCTTACAATTTGAAGCGTTACTACCGAAACCGCCGCGGAGGCGTTCCAACACGCCTCGCCGCTATCACCCTGGCCCAGAGAAAACAATAAACAAAGGAAGTTATCGTGGAAACTATAAAAAAACCGGCCGGACCGGAAACCTGGCCGGACCAGCTGCAAATGGCGCCTTTGTGCCTCGTTTGCTTCTCCTTTTCTTTCTCTTTTTTCAGGATCGCTAGTTCATCGTTGCTGATTCCTCCCGTATTGATGAAGCCGGAAGGCAGAAACACTGAGTGTCTACGGGTAGTCATGTTTTAGTCATGTATCATGACTAATCTTTCTGTGGACTTGCCCAATAAATTCTTTCTTCGTTTTTTTTATAGTTTCCACGATAACTTCCTTTGTTTATATATATATATATATATATATATATATATATATATATATATATATATATATATATATATATATATATATATATATATATATATATATATATAAGCAAGTCATTCATTGGATACCACCTGGTAAACGAAAGAGAGGACGTCCCAAGAAAACATTCTCTTTCGTTTACCAGGTGGTATCCAATGAATGACTTGCTTTGGAGTTCTTTCAATTTGCATTCTCTGAACGTGGCCGTACCATATTAATTGTTTTTGTTCTATATCATTTACTATTGTTCCCTCTATTCCCATCTGTTGTCTAATGTCTTCATTTCTGATCTTATCCCTCCGTGAAATTCTCATTGCTCTTCTAATCGCGTCCATTTCTGTTGTCTCTAATTTCTTTTTATTCCTTTCAGTGAGTCGCCATGTTTCACATCCATAGAGTAATATGCTATTAACTAGTGTCTCGTATATATTATATTTCCTGTTTTTTGTAATTTCAGTACTCCATAGAATGCCATTTATGCATCTGATAACTCTTCGTGCCTCTATTACTCTGTTGTTTATTTCTCTATCGTCCGTTCCATCTCCTGTAAATATCGATCCCAGGTACCTGTAATCTTCACATGCCCTAATTTCCGTATTATTGTCCAAAATAAGATTTTCTGTATTGGATCCAATTGGAAGGTGTTTTGTTTTTTCTGTATTTACTGTGAGACCCCATTTAGCGTATTCTTCAATTATTTTCTGCACCATATATTCCATGTCATCTTTGTCGTTTGCAATTATGGCCTGGTCGTCTGCAAATTGCAAGGTGTATAGGCATATGTCATTTAGTTCTATACCCATTCCGTTACATTTTCTTTTCCATAGATATAAGGCCTTGGTAATATAAATTTTAAATAGTGTTGGGGATATACAGCAACACTGTCGGAGCCCTTTAGTGATAGAAATTTCCTCTGAGAGACCGTTGACCGTTTTTATTTGTGATTTTCCTCCATGGTAAAGATTTTGTACAGCTTTTATCAGAGCTGCGTTAATTCTTGGTTCGTGCAATACTTCCCATAATTTTATTATTGGTACTGTATCATATGCTTTTTGTAGATCGATGAATGTTATATGAGCTTCCTGGTTCATTGCACATTCTGCTCTTCTTCTTCGTAGCTGGAGTATTCCTCTTCAATTAAGTTCCTCAGTATCCTTCCATAGAGGCGACTCATAGTGCTGGTGACCGAAATTTTCCTGTAGTTATTGGGATCCTTCCTTGAGCCCTTTTTATATATAGAGGAGATATATGCTTTTTTCCACTGTTCAGGTACTGGATGACCATTTAAGCACAGGTTAACTATGTTTGTTAACATTGTAAATAGTTTTTTGCTTCCAGATTTTATGAGTTCCGCATATACTGGGCCCACTGGGCCACATGCTCTTCCATTCTTTAAAGACATTATAGCGGTCTTTATTTTGTTGGTATCCACATAGATTTCCTCTCCTTCAATGTTTATTTCTGGCTGTGGCGGTTCTTGATACTCAGGTCTGTTCTCTGACAACAATTTGGAATAATATTTCACCCATTCTTTGTTGGTTATTATTTCTATAAGGGCTGACTCCTGGTTTTCAGTTGTTGTTGTTTTTATAAATCTCCATACTTCCGTATTCCTTCTTCCGCCTATATACGTATTAATTTCTTTGCATTTGCCATCCCACACTTTATTCTTTTCTTCTTTTACCATTCTCCTCACCTCATTTTTCTTGTCATTATAAGTGCGCTTGTCTAGTTCAGATTTCGAATTTAGCCATTTAAAATACAGTATCTTTTTTTCCTCTACAAGTTCAGTCCACCACAACTTTCTGCTCTTTCTTCTCGCTTTTATTCCTAATGCTTCCTCTGCGGCTCCATGAATACTGTCAATTATATTATTGTATGTTAGGTGAAAAGGCCTTTCCGAATCTTCTATAAGTTTTTCATCAAGCCTGTTCTGATAAAGATATTTGACGCTGTCATGCGAGACTTTCTAAATTATATCTTACTGTGGTAACTGGCTTCGTTCTTCCTGTTTTTTCTTGATTGTTTTGTTTAATTTGATATGGTGGAAAGAGAATTTTTGATCTTAAAAGGTAATGATCTGAGTGGTGTGCGGTGCCCCTTAGGATTCTTATATCATTAATTTTTATGTTGTTACTTTGTTTTGTAATTATATAATCTATTATTGATTTTAGGTCACGTGTTGGTTGAATCCAAGTATATTTATGAATTTGTTTATGTTTAAAGAAACCATTTTTTATTGTTAAGTTGTTATACTCGCATATGTCAATAAGCCTATTACCGTTGTCATTGATATTTTCTTCTCCGTAAGGGCCTATGATTTTATTATTTTCTTTTCTTCCTGTTCGGCTATTAAATCACCCCAGCAAAACTAAATCTCTCGTATTTCCAATGTCACTAATTATCTCATGGAGCTTAGTGAAAAACTGGTTCTTAATTACTACAGTCTCGTCATCAGATGGAGCATTAGGTGTATATGCTATTCTATATTGATAATCTCACATTTCTAAGTTTTAAATTTAATCTGATAATATTTTCATCTATACCTTCCCAATCTGTAATATTTTTCTTAAACTTGTTCTTTATAAGTACAGAAACACCTCTTTTAGCACGTTGATCTTTGGGCACTCCGCTATAATAATGAAGATAGTTTCCTATTATTTCAGACCCACTACCTTTCTTTTTGGTTTCTGTTAATGTAATTATATCTAATTCTAATTTTTCTAAATCTTTGATTATAATTTCACGTTTATTTCTTATGTGGCCTTGTACATTCCACGTCCCAAATTGCATAGTCCTTTTTTGTTGCCGTTGTCGTTTTCCTTGTAATCCGTCCGTTACTCCGAGGCTTTGTTTAGGCTTTTTAGTATTTAAAACGTTTTTCCAAGTGTTGAAGTATTAGTCCAACGCCTTAACCCCCAACTTGGAGGACCGGGTAATTTTTAATCAAGGTTTTCTTCCTCTAGCCTTTGATGATCCAACACCGAACTACAAGGCAGCAGCTTCGTTTGTACCCTCAACAGGGGCCCTTACAGGGTGCTATCATCTGGGCCAGATGAACCCTGGTTTTTTAACGAGGTTGTTACTCCTCCCCCTCGCCCTTTTGCAACCTGGCTTGGGACAGGCTTTGGCGGGTTTTGGCAATAAAAAATACGGAACGGATATGGAATGGATATGGAGTGGAAACGGAAGGTATAGTGAGAATCAACCTTAAAGTATCACAACAGGATATATTTAAACCAAAACTCGTAAAACAAAACTAAAGTTTCAAAACGAAATGACAATGTCAGGATATAAATAAATAAATGTGGCAACTCGACATCTTTTACAGCAGAGCTACCACCTGAATCGCTAGCGTAAATTTTAAATTCCAGTTAGTCAGCACGACGCCGAATATGTCCATTCAAAAAATTTCGAATTTTCAATTTTTTTTTCTTGAAAAAAAAACTCATAGGCGTGTTTCTGGGGTTGAACTATAGTTCAACCCCAGAAACACGCCTGGTATACTACCGGTTAAAATACTTGCACTTATTTCTGGGACACCCTGTATAAAAACTAGAAAAACAAAATTTTGTTAAATATGTTTTATACTTCAGAAAAGTCTCTAAATTTTCACAAACCATAAGGTTATTTAATATCACGAAATTAAGCTATACAAAATTAATTTCTCGAGGATCAAGCACCCTCTGAAAAATTAAGCGATAGCAAGCTTGGTCTATTCCTTATTAATATTCAGTCCTTAAGACATAAAACAGATGAATTATATCTTTTACTAGAAGAACTTGAATTTCCAGATATCATTGCCATAACTGAGCACTGGTTGAATTTTAATGAGCCTGTGTTTGTTAAAAATTATACCACAGTAGCCAGATTTAATAGAACAAATTTTTCTCATGGAGGTACTATGATAATGTCTTTAAACAACGACTTTTCCGGGGTAACTAGGTACAATGATTTGTTATCTGAAAAAGTATTCGAATTTTCCATTGTCCACCATAATGCTTATCACCTTTACATTATTTGTATTTATAGAACACCTGACTCTGACGTGCAATTATTCTGTCATAATCTACTAAGCTTGCTTGAGTCCCTGCCCTTAAAAAGCAAATTAATTTTGTGTGGTGATCTTAATATTGACTTTCTCAGTGTATGTGCTGCTCAGGAGTTTCTTCAGTCCATTTTTGATTCTTTTGGAATAGCCATGCATGTAGGCTCACCTACCAGAATATCCAATACCAGTTCTAGTACTATAGACTATGTTGTGTCATCTTTTGATCCTAACTCCATCACCTGCAACGTCTTTAGCTCGGGTCTCTCTAATCATGAAGCAGTTTTAACTGAATTTTCGATAAAGTCCAAAATCAAAAATGCCCCTCGTAAATCATGCCGTATTTTTTCTGAAAAGAATACTCAAAAGTTCAGACACTTATGTAAAATAACCAACTGGGATACTAGCTCTTATGATGCCGACACCGAATTTTCTATTTTCGTAAAAACATTAACCAGTCTAGCGTTTAAATCCTTTCCTCTTAGGCCTATAAAAAATAAGCATAATAAACCTTGGATCACTAAAGGTCTACGCATATCTTCTAAAAACATGCGTTCATTATCTCACTTAAAAAATTCTCAGACAGTCTCTTCTTCCACAAATACGTAAAACTATACAGAAAAATTTATCATAAGACTATAAGTGCCGCTAAGGACCTTTATTATAATAGGAGAATAGTCAATTATGGTAATGTTGCTAAAGAAACATGGTCTATTGTGAATGAATTGAGAAACAAAGCTTTTCTTCGTCTAGCAATATCTCTACCTCACCTGAGAACCTTAAAGATTACTTTGTAAATGTAGCGAAAAACTTAACTAATACCATATGTCCTCCTCATGATCCACTTTCTTATCTCTCTAATGATAATGTAAACTTACACAGTTTCTTTTTTCGCCCGTAGTTCTTGAAGAGCTTCGCAGTACAATTAATACCATCAAAAATAAATCCTCTTCTGGGACCGACGGGCTAACTTTAAAAATGTTTTCGAATCTGCCAGAAAGCACTCTGAATCACCTAACAACTTTAATAAACATGTCGTTCCAAAATGGTATTTTTCCAAAATGGCTTAAGACGGCAATAATCATTCCTCTGCACAAAGGAGGAGACAAAGATGAAGCTTCTAACTATCGCCCAATTGCACTCCTTCCAACGCTATCTAAGATCATAGAAAGGTTGGTTAAAAGAAGGCTGGTATCTTTTCTGTTTAAGTACAAAATACTTACTCAATATCAATTTGGATTTCTAAGCAACAAGTCCACAAATGACGCTATGTTTTCCCTCCTTAATAAAGTTTACTCCAGCCTAAACAACCATCATTCTACAGCAACAATTTTCTGTGATTTTTCTAAGGCGTTCGATTGTGTAAGTCATAAGATCCTAATTAATATATATAATAATAAACTGCAGCACTATGGGTTCAGGGGATCATCTCTCGAATGGTTTAAGTCGTATCTGAGCAACAGAAGTCAACTTGTGAGGGTGGATACCACGTTGTCTTCTAGCAAGCCAATAGAATGTGGAGTACCACAAGGCTCAGTACTAGGCCCTATTCTTTTTCTTCTTTTTATTAACGACATTGCTAACATAAACATCGGTGGCAAAATATGTATTTTTGCGGACGACACTAGCTTCACTTGGAGCAACAAGGACATCACGGCACTTCATAGGATTATATCAAATGACTTAATCACCATTAAATCTTGGTGCGATTCGAACCTCCTGAGTCTCAACATTTCTAAAACTAAAGCTTTGTCGTATAAAAACTCGTTGCAGCCTTTTGTACTTAACAACACCACCATTGACGTCGTAAAATCTGTAAAACTTTTAGGGCTTGTTGTGGACAATTCTCTGAAATGATACATACATATCGAAGCTTTGTCGAAAAAATTGAGCTCTGCCTGTTTTGCATTAAGGTCTGTTTCTAAGGAGCTTAACTTGTCAGTGGCTAGAACTGTTTATTATGCACTTTTTGAGTCGCACCTCAGGTATGCCCTTCCATTCTGGGGTACGTGTTGTGCGACTCAATTTGACCACATTTTCAAGCTCCAGAAGAGAGCTGTTCGATATTCACTTGGACTAAACAGCAGAACTCATTGCCGGGACTTTTTTAGGAATTAAGAATATTGACTCTTCCTTCCTTATTTATATTTGAATCCGTTTGCCTAATACGTAAACATGTATCAGCTTCTCAAGAAAGGCCATCTCACACTTATCCACTCAGGAACGCGGAGCAAGATCTTTATCTACCTACCCCACGCTCAGAGTTAGTTAAAAGTTCAATATTATACAACTCGAAAAAAATGCACAATCACCTGCCATTTGAAATCAAATCCATAACATCATTTTTTCATTTCGCAAAGCATTGAACTCTTATTTACTAGACAAGGCTTTCTACGCCGTAAATGAATTATATTTGAATTGAAAATCGAATTTGATCTTGAAAACACTGGTCTAATGTTTGCTATTGCTATATTTACTAATGACATCGAAATTAATTTATTTAGAGGTCATTGATATTTTGCTATAAACTGGCTAAATATTTTTGAATATTATTTTAAATTTTTTGTTCTTTGACATTGTAAACATTTATAAATGTTTATTTTAACAATAAGACTGACAATATTGTTTATATAATGTTTTGTATTATCTTTTGTTTGTTTGTTTGTGTACCTTGTTTTTTTTCTACTTTGTTAGTTTACCTTTGTCTACAAATTGAAAAATTTTTTGACAATAAAGGCATTTATTTATTTATTTATTATTTATAATTTAAAGCATCAACTTTTTAAATGGAATTTAAATTTGCCGCTGGGGATTCAGGTGGCAGCTCTGGTGTAAAAAATGTCAAGTTGCCACATTTATTTATTTATTTCCTTGTCATTGGTTTTGACACTTTAGTTTTGAATATAATGAGTTTTTGGTTTAAATAAATAGTGTTGTGATATTTTAAGCTTGAAAATGTTTACTAGCAGACCTCGCAGTCGAACATTGTTGTTTTTAATCTTTTTAGAACCTTTTTTAGTGCGAAGGGTGCAAGCTCGGGTGCAAAATAGCTTAATACCCGTTGCAAAAACTCATCAAAATTTTATTAGAATATTTTGAACGGGAAAGCGGTAGTAATGGCCCTTTATGCCTCTTAAGTGCTCTTAAGGAGGTGAGTTTTGTTGATGTAAATAATAACTGTTTATATATTTATAATTAATTTATTTTTGTTTTCTAAAATATGTTGATTAAAATAAAATATGTAAAAGTGGGCAACGCTGTGCCAGTTAAGCTTAATAGCGTGACTAAAAGTTTATTTGGTATGAACTATAGTTTAATTTCGTAAATTTTTCCGTAAATTTCCCCCCCCCCTCTTTTTTTACAGGGTATTTTAAACTTTCACCAGAATAACAACATTTTGTTTTTTGTTCTACAGTATGTCCCCGGATTGTCTTTACAAGAGGAAAAACTTATTATTGAGATTTTGAGAACCAGTGACCAGTAAATATAGGAGAGATTAGAAATGTTTATATGGCACTTAAAATTTAAATTAATATAAAAATGTGTTTAAGGATGTTTATCACTATCAAAGTAAAAAATCAACTACGTCTATTCCAAATATAGAGAGTATGAACTTTTAACAAACCTCTTGGATTGCAAAACAAATAATAAAAAATGAAACACGTATAGTAATAGTTCTTTTTATTAGATTAATCTAATTCTATAGGGGTCAAATTAAGAAACACAGAACATACAGTATTATTTC